TTTGTGGAAAAAAAAATATATATCTATATATATATTTAGTTCTATCTCCTCCTCCTCACAAGAAATGAAAGCTTTTGTTTTCCTCCCTTCTTGGTTAAAATGGCCATTCATTCTAACACTTTCTTTTGCTGGTCTCGGGTTAGAAGCTCTTCCTTTTTCTCATCTTGCCCCTGTGTGGTATTTCCCCAGAAGCAGACACACAGCAGGTAGCGATGCTATTTAGGGAACTGTCATTTCTGTCATTTCTGCTGAACCGGGTCATCAGAGAGCCCACACCCTCCTATCTGCAGTGACTCCAGGCCCTCAGCTGGGTCCATTCTGGACCCTCACAGCTGGAGGGAGCTTTTTCATTTACAAAGCACTCAGGAGAAACGAAGGCTCAGAGAGCCTAAGGGGCATGCCTAAGGTCACACAGTAAGTGCCTCTTCTCTGAGGAGACAGCTGTGGGATAACAAGACAGCCTGGGAGGGAGTCTGAAAACTCAGGTACAAATCTGGGCACTTCCTCTGAGCAGAGGGTTGTCTGCAGCACCACGGACCGTGAGAAATAGAATGGGAGCTACATGTGTAATTGTATCTTTTCAAGGAGCCACATTAAACAAAAAAAATAAAAGAAACTGGTGAAATTAATTTTAATAATAACCCAAGGTATCCACAATGGTATTGTTTCGGCATATAATCCTCACAAAATGATGAATGAGATATTTTACATCCCGTTTCTCCTCCTAAGTGTTGGGAATCGGGTATGAATGTTATATTTCCTACACAGCTTGATCCGGACTAACCACCTGTCAGGGACTCGAGAGCCACATGTAACTAGTGGCTCGCCAGCGCTGGTCTAGACCAGGGTTTCTCAACCCTCTTTTCTTTGTCATTATCACCTCTTAAGAAGCCTACTTAGTCATTTTTTCCCTCAACCTCCCCCGTGAAATTTTAATTCTACAGGTATGCTGTACAGCTGGTACACGGACTTTACGCAGACCTGTGAAGCTGTGTGTATCCCGTGTGCATATTATGCACACACACAGACGAGGAAGATTTTTGGAGCCCACTCCTGCCTGCAAGAACCAGCTTTCATCTCTTGTGGGTGATAACACTCTGTTAAGAATGCATGGTCTACCCCTCCGACTTGAATCATGGAACACGACATCAAAAACTAATGATGTAATGTATGGTGATTAACCTAACAGAACAACAACAACAACAAAAAGCAGAAGCACACCCATACATACAGAGGACAAACTGATGGTTGCCAGAGCAGAGGAATGGGCAAAATGGGTGAATGAGAGCGGGAGATATAGACTTTCACTAATGGAATGAAGAAGTCACAGAGATAAAAGGGACAGCATAGGGAATAGTTGATGGTATTATAACAATTTTGTATGGTAACGGATGGTAGCTAACTTGTGGTGAGCACAGAATAATGTATAGAGTTGTCAAATCACTACGTTGTACACCTGAAATTAATGTAACATTATGTGTCAATTATATTTCAATTAAAAAATAAATTTTAAAAACATCTTGGGGGGGAAAAAAAAAGAACGCATGGTCTAGAACAAGCAGGAACAGCCCTGAGCTTAGGAGGAGAAACGGGATGTAAAGTGAGGACTCATGAGTGGACAAAAGAGTTCTGTGGAAAAGCATCTAGTAGTGCCAAGTGTGGTACTGATGCTAATAACCTTGTGGGACTGGTGCTTCCAGCACGTTGTTCCCTCCCACATGGCTGGCGCTGCTGGGAGTTAGGATCCCACCTCCTGGGCCTGCAGGCTGTTCCCGGGGTATGTGCTATCTGCCCATGTCCTCACTCCTTCATCACAGGGAGAGACCAGGGGTGCCATCCCTCCACCTGGCCACAGCTCGGCTGGGGGCACCAAAACCTTGTGGATCACTGCTTCGATACTCTCTCTCCCTCCCCTGCTGGACACTGAATTGATGCCAAATGGCCAGAGGGCACCCCTGAGGGGAAGCCCAGGTCCCCTGACACACCAGGACCAGGCTTTTCTTCTTCCCCTGGGTGTCCTCCAGCAGAGGGGTGGTGCCAAGGTTCATTATCTCCACAGAGACACATGCCCCGTGTTCCAACACCTTCTCCTCCCACAGTCTCCTAGATTTGAGAGGTTGCTAACTGTGGGCTAACACGGTTTCTCCCTTTTTAAAAAGCCCATGCCCTCTGTGGATGAGGATATAGATTTGATGCCCCAACTCCTTGTTGATTCTAGCACCTTCTTCTTCCCTTCCCATCCCAATCCTTTGTAGAGGCCAGTGAGATCCATCTCTGCACCTGTGGTGCCAAGGAGCTCTAACTTGTCATCGACAACCCCGCCATCTCTACCCAGTTCTTCCTCTTGTCTCACCTGAGTGAGGTGCCCTTAGAGGCAATGCCGGGATCACTGGGGAATCATCCATAACACCTCTGGAGATAGGGACCTCAGTTCCTCTTACTCATTCTGTGGTTCTGTCTGTGGGCAATGCTGTGAGAACACGGGTGCTGGGGTCAGACAAGGCTGGCTGGCTTCCACACGCAGCTCTTCCTACAAGTCCACTGACTACACGACGTGTGTGAGCAGGCTTGCAGCAAAGGCTATGACTTGGTGTCCTGAGCTGGGGATGGCAGAGTAAACACAGGAAGTGAACAGTGATTGCCTGGTCTTCCAGAGCCATGCCTCATTAGGCACCCATTGTAGGGAGAAGCCAAGCAGCCAAGCTGCAGACTGGAAAGGAAATTGGCTTTGGGATTTTGCCTTTTTTTTTTTTTTTTTTTTTGCCTCATAGCAAAGTGTACTTCTCGGATTCTTGTGTTTCTTTTTAGATATAAACCCTTCCCTACCTTTTACTTGGGAGGGGGTTCGGAATAGAAAGATATTGAATCTCATCAGCTTTAAATCTTTTAAAGACTCAAAGAAAACACAAGGCCAAACTTTGAGTTGTGAAAGACTTAAGTTAACAGGTGTGCATGTCATCTTGGGTACCTGGGGTTGACTCTTGGCCACGATGCTCAGCAGCTGGGGGACCTTCCACAAGACTCAGTTTCATCAAGAGAAAAGGCTTGCTGTGGCGCTAAAGCATGTCCACGTGGATAAGGACCCTTGGAAATGCCTAGAACTTAGGAGGATAGCAAGTAGGTCAGTCTGACGTCAATTTGCAACATGAGAGGGTCTTTGAGGCTATTCTGCGTAACCTACAGCTTCATTCGATTTGAGAATGAATGAAACTCAATAATTATCTATTGAGTTAATATAAACTAGCCAGTATTTCAGGCACTTGAGTCAGTGAACAAACTGATACAAACCTCTGCCCTCCTGGAGGTTACCTTCCACCCGCCAGTGCAATGAGAGGAGGGGAGAAAATGATACAAAATATAACATGGCAGTTACTTAGTATGTGAGCACATGATAGGTGCCATAGAAAAGAGAGAAAAGAGAAAGGACACTAGAGAGCTGAGTAGGAGGTACAGGAGTGCTGGGGGAGACCCGGGCAGTGCAGGCCTCAACGAGAAGGTGGGGTTTAAGTGAGGACTCCACGGAGGTGAGTCAGCTAAGTGGATTTCGAAGAGAAGAGCTTGAGGACAGGCCCTGAACGGGGTTAATGTCTGGTTGATTTGACGAAGAGCAAGGAGGCCAGTGTGGCAGGGGGCCAGCGAGCAAAGGAGGACAGATGGGAGATGGGGTGAGGGGGTGAATGGGGTCCCTGTAAGATTTCGGCTTCTGGTCTGGATGGAACAGGGGCCCCTGCAAGTCATGAGCAGCATCAGACTGAGAGACAGATCTGGGGGTTAGGACTGGCTGGAAGGACTGAACTCTTTGTCCTAAAAGGTAATTAGTGGCTGGTCTAACTCAAGCCACGGACGTGGGGGCCCATGAGCTCCTGGGACTCCAACAAGGCTCTGGGGCCCTGGGTAACTGGGAGGACAGGCTGGTGTAACTGGGCCCACCTCCCTACCCTCTGAGTCCATAGGGTACTGCAGAGCCCAGCCTTTGGACCCTGTATCCCTGTCAGCTGCCCACCAGGTTTCCTTCCAGGGCCACTGCTGGGTGAGTCAGGGGTAAACACGGAGCATGGAGTCAGCCCCAGGCAGGAAAATTGAACACAAATCAGGATGCTGAGGAGGTGTCTAGGAAGATGGCTGCTGCCCACCCAGCATGGCCCTCCCCACGCTGGACCTCAGGGGGAGCAGATGATCTGAGGAGGTCAAAGGCTATCATAAGCAACGCTCTCTGAAATGGGTGATCCCAGAACTTTGGCAGGTAGGGCCTTTAGTGTTAGCCTCCCATGAAGCCTGAGACCTTGAAACTCATTGCTTTCTAAGTAGACGAATTAGAGCTGGGGACTCAGCAGAGCTTCAGATTCAAGGTATACTGCTGGGCTAATAGTTAGAGTACACAATCTCTTTCTGAGGTCCATTCCTGGAATTCCAGCCTCCCATCAAGATGCAAGGCTCACAAATCTCTCAAATGTGAAGAAGGCAACTCAGAGACTCTCTCCTCAGCACGTACAAGGTACGCAACTGGAAGGCACTGGGTGTTTCATGTGGGAGGTGGAAAGAATCATTCCATTGATTCAGATGAAAGCTTCTTCATTGAAAAATATCAAAATTTGCATGAAAGATGTTTGCTAAAGTAATAGCAATTCAAATACTCTTTGAAGTGCTCTGAATATAAATATAGAAACACTCCCATGGAGACCTGTCTGGACTGTCTTCTCGTCTTACCTCTATATTACTGGGTTCACTGTCAGCCTTGGATGGGGTGATGGAGTGGCCTCATCGTCTTGGGCTGCCTGACCTGCCGTGGGGTTGGAGGGAGTCCTCCATTGGTTACTGCCTCTCTGGGTCTGGCTCTTTTCTTCAATGACAAACAACCCTGGGCCCAGATTTTGTCTCCAAAGAAAGAATTCAGGAGCCTTGAGAATATTCCAACAAACTGGACCCTCGGAAGAGGGGTGTGCTATCTGTCTCCAAATTTGGGTACCTCTGGAGAGGTTTAATGGTATCCCCTATCCAACCTTTCCATCCTGAATCTGTGTGTTGAAAGCTACCTTCCCCTTTCCCTGAACCACAGTTGCTATTTCTGAGTCAATGGAGTCCATGGTGCCATGGACACATCTGCCAACTTGCCTTCAATTGCTCAGAGGACAGAGACTGTGCTAAGCCAAAAGGGTGGGCTGGAGCTCAAAGGCACAGTGGTGGTGGGGGCCAGAGTTATCCCATTGCAGGCTGAAGACTTACACTCTTTGAAGCAGGTGGCATGGACATCAACAACCAGGCCGAGAGTAAAGTCAGTGTGCAGAAAGGAAGATGGGGCAGACAGACCAAAGGAAGCAAGAAGCATGGACAATGGAGAAGAGAAAGAGAGACAGACCTGGGTATTCGACTTTCTGATTACATGTCCATGACACTAAATCATTTTTCATCCACTGTCCAGGGTGGTGTCTGTAAAGCCAATCTGAGCTATTTCAAGAAACTCTTGTTTCTTAAAAAGTATATTTCCCTGATGAGAAGATCTCATCTACACCATCACATCATTTGGGTCTTAAATCCATTCCTCGCTCTTTCTTCCGCAGATAGCCACAAGTTCCTGGCTCCTCCAGTTCTGCAGCTGCCTCCACACCCCCTCCTCTGGGTCCATGGTCCTTCCTTCCCCATCCCAAGTCCTGCACCCGCCCACCATGAGCCATGGATTCACCCACGTGCAGACTCCAAACCACATTAATTCAAGTGGGCACCTGGTACTCCCCAAGGCTGCACAGTTTATGCAGCAAGCAGAACTGAATGTTGATGCCTTCATTTCATGGCCATGTCGCTCCCTGGGGAAACATCCCAGGAAACAGCTCTGTGTGCTGATAAGGGCTTTTCTGCCTTGTCAGAGTCTTCGGCACCAGTTCCAGGTAAGGGCCGGTGATGGGGTCCAGCACCTGTCCCAGGTGTCAAGTCCTCTCCTTGGGCCACAAGTACACACAGGCACACCACCCCTCCCGGCCTGGCCAGGTCCCTGGCAGAGGGGTGGGCATTCCCTTGGGAGACAGACTTGGGTTCTCCTGCTATACCCCCCAAATAATACCAGTCCCTAGTCACTCCTCAGAACCAGGTGATGGCTGCCTGCACTGGTTCAGCACGTGGGCTCTGCCAATGACAAGCCGTGAGTCTTTGTGGACAAGTTGCTTAGCTTCGTGATACCTCCATTTCCACATCTGTTAAATGGAGGTAATGAAGTCCCTATCTCATGGGTGTGAATGAGGAAACAATGGGGATAATACTGGAAAAGCCTGTAGAACAGTTCCTGGGAAACAGTAAGCCCTCAGTAAATGCATCTACCATCATTCCTGCAAAAACACTCAAGTTCTTCAATGGTTCTCCATTGCTCTTAAGATAAAACAACCATCTGCACTGTGGCCCACAGATCCTGCATGATCTGGCCCCTGCTGTCACTTCCATGCCATCTCAGTGACCACATACAACCCCCTGTATGGATGTGCTAGCCTCTTCCCTTCACCTGGTGTTGGCCCTGCATCCCCGACCATAAAGGTATGTGGCCAGGCTCTTCCTGCCACACAGCACACTCTTCCATCACCTTTTTGTTCAGTTAACACGTTCTCTTCCTTTGGTTCTCCATTCTACTGTCATTCTCACAGGCAAACCTTCCCTGTCCAAGTCCAGCGTGCCATGATTGTCTCTGAAAGGGCCAGGACCACTGTGCACAACTCTAGGGAGCACAGCTCATATTGTATAAATATGGATGGTGCCCCTAGAGTTGCACAAAGCAGCAGGGCAGTGGGGCAGGGGGTCGGGCTAGAGATATAGGGATGGGCTGATGGGGGTGTTGGTGGGGGGAGATCTGCACCATCGGAGGGTGAAGGAATTAGGATATCAAAAGGACACCACTACTTGCCAACAGTTTCTTTGTGACTCAGGGTCTAAGCACTGAGGGCTCAGTCTTATGACTCACGTGGCTTTTCTACTCTAGTCTCTATGATTTTTCCACTACAGTCTTAACATCTATCGCCAAGGTACCACTTTCAGACAATACATGAAAAAAAAAGGCAACTGATACTCCCCTTCAAATCCTCCCTTACAGTGACCCGGGAAGAGGAGCCTCACTGCCCATCTTATGTACACAATTTCACATTTATTTGTTTGCCTCTCTGATTAATATCTGCCGTTCTGACCAGATTATGTGACAGGTGAACAGGGACCACATCTGGGGCATTCCCTGCAGTCACCCTAGCAACTAGAGAACAGAGTAAACCTTCAATAAGTATTTGTGGAATGAATGAATGAGCCTAAGTTTCAATACCCAGGGCTGTCCTCTAGCCCAAAACTATCAAGCTCGGGGCCTGAAATTCCAGCCCAGTCCCCAGTTCAACGGAAAGAGAGTAAGGAGCTTCAATCACACTGAGTAGTAAGTTCCAGAATCAGTCCTTTTGTTGAAGGAGAAATTGACAGTTGTGTTCAGGTGAGCTGCTGGGTTTGCGCTCTCCTACCCCTGCCTATGTGAACCCGGGGGCAAGACTGGGATCACCTTAGAAGGATCATACAGAGGGTAGTCCCAGGCTGAGGCTCCAAGTAAGCTGGTCTAGAATGTGGCCAGGGTACCAACATTTTTAGCAAGCCTCTCCTCCTTCTGGGATTTTGATGCAGTTTGTCTTCAGGCTGTTGGGGAAGGGAGTATGGTTGAGAGACCCTGCACGAGGAGGCTCCACAGGTCCTTTGCTTCCCTAAGAATCCAGGGTATAATGAAGAAGCAGAGGGTCCAACCAACAAAGATGAGAAGCCCCTTCAGACCTTGGCTATGTTTCCAATTGCAGAAGGACAATTAAGGACAGGTTAGCAAGAGAGCTGGGCCAGGAAATAGGAATTCTGAATTGAAGGGAATTAGGAATTCTGGAATTTGGGTAAAAAGAAGACAGGGTCTGCTCAATTTTGATAAAGGGTTCTTAATTCTATTTAGAGGACATGTAAATAAGAGTATTAAAAACATTGAGACTGATGTGAAAGTAACATGTGTCCACTGACAGAGGAACAAACAAACAAAATGTGGTAGACACATACCATGGAAGATCATCCAGCCTTAAAAAGGAAGGAAACCTGACCCAGGCTCCAACGTGGATGAACTTTGAGGACATGACGCTGAGCGAAATAAGCCAGTCACACACAGGCAAATAAGTAGGATTCCAGTTCTAAGAGGTTCCTGGACTAGTCCAATTCCCAGAGACAGAAAGTGGAGTGATGGGTGCAGGGGAGAGTCACTGGTTACTATTTAATGGTACAGAGTCTCAGTTTTACAGAATGAAAAGAGTTCTGGAGATGGATGGTGGTGAACATGAGTGTATTTAACCACTGAACTGTACATTTAAAAACAGTTAACATGGTAAATTTTATGTCATGTGTATTTTACTGCATTTAAAAAAAATAAGGAAAAACAAAACACTGAGACTTCTTTCACATTCTGACCAAAAAAAAAAGACAGAGATCCCAGCCAAGGCAGGGCACATGGAGGCCGCTCAGTTTCTGAGCGCCTACTGTGTGCCTGGTACTTTGCTAGGCTCCCTAGGACCCACTATATTATTTAATTTGGCGAATAACACTATGAGTTAAGGATTACTCTTTCAATTTCCTGCTGAGAAGACAGGCCCAGACAGGGTGAGTGACTTCATCTAGGTCATTCACGTGGTGAGACGCTGCCCAGCTGGGCTCTGACTTCTATCCAGAGAGCGGGTGACAACAGGCTCGTACGTGTCACCAAAGGAAGCACTTGAGGACAGAGTGACAGAACTATTAGCTCATAAATATTCATTTTCAATCCTTATCTTCAGGCAGGGGCTTAGGGTTTCTAAATATTTAGATTTTCATTTGTAAACTGACAGGATTCTGCCGTTGACAGGAACTCTCCGAGGGGACAAAATTTACTCCTTTTTGACTGTCACATCCCCCAAATGACCTTTCAGCTGTGTCAATGCTTCTAACAGCCTGGACGTGGTGCTGGACAGCGGCAGGCAGCCTTGGACGTTAAATGAAGCGGTTGATGCCAATATTAATTTGTAACAGCAATAATGGGAATCATGGACATATGTGTAGAGTTCTGCCATTTGCAAAGTACAGACTCAATTTGCTCTGAGCACAGCTCTGGGTGGTGGGCAGAAGAGCTTCTGATGGCAGAAGCTACAGGCCAACGATGACAGGGAGACAACCTCACAGCATGAGTCATGCAGGACCCAGGGAGATCCAGGTTCCAGAGGGGTGGGGAGGAGCTAATGGCCCAATCTGGGCAGCAGCTCTCCCCCCAGAGGCACGGGGGTGTGTGGAAGGGGGTAAGTAATAGCCCAGGGAGCAACACTGAAGGTTCTTGTAAGTCTGAACACCCAAGAGGGAGGGCCTCCTTAATCAAACTCAGTGCCCTGGGCACATCACTTGCCTTCTTTGTCCCTGACATCTGTATAAGAATGGGGTGACTCCAGGGCTGGCAGATTCAACATCTGTCCTGCCCCAGGAAATCCTACAGCATCCCTCAGGAGAGAGTCTCCCTCCAACAGATTCAACATCTGTACTGCCCCAGGGAAATCCTGCAGTATCCCTCGAGCCTCCCTCCAATAGCCCCACCACTCTGCCCCTCTGTCTCACTCAGCTCCAGCTTATTTTTTCTCAGAAACCTTACCAAGGCCAGGTCTGCTATGTTCTAAGGTTCAAGGAAAACATCAGGTGTGAACAAGGAGAAACCTCCCTCAATTAAGTAGTCAAATGTAAAATAAATGAAATCGTAAAGTAAGAGAATTCAAGGTGGCTAGCTGTTCCATCTCTGGCCTGGACATTTTAAACACGCAAGTAAATGAAGAAAGTATACCGTAAAAAACAGTGATAGAGTTTAAAGTCAAGTTTTAAAAATGTCAAAATCTACCATCAATGCTACTAAAAAGGAAACAACAAAAGGGAAAACAATGAAACGGGAAATCTAAAAATAGGTATGACAGACAGTCAGCGTCCTCAATATAGAAAAACTTCTTGCAAGTGAATAAAAAAGAGGAACACTCGAATGGGGAAAAAATGATGAATGACATGGACAGGAAATTCACAAAGATATATATTCGTCAGTGCG